CCCCCCCCCCCCCCCCCCCACTTCCCGGCTCAGACAATGCGATGTGTCAGCTGTCACTGTTTTCACCGAGCCGGGTTTCTCCTTTCGACCATCTGTCCCGGTTCTGCCCGCTCCTCCACGGCCGAACCGAGGGTCCGGTCCTCCCCCACACAGCTCAGCCCATAGTTAGTCGGTTCTGGACGGGCTCGTTGTCCAACATCATGTCGGCCTCGCTGCTCATTTCCTCACGATGACAGAAATGTTCTGGTTCTGGTTCTGACAGCAGGCCCGCTCTGCTCCCAGGATCCAGGTAAAGACAAGTGGCCTAATTACAGCTCAGTCATGTCTGCCGCTTAAATACTTGAGCCCAAATGTGATTATGGAGCCTCCTCTGTTTGTCTTTAGGGGGGGGGGGGGGGGGGGGGGTTCTGGTCCTTTTGGACTGAAACATGTGGAGCTCAGAATAAAAAACCCCTCCCTGCATTATTCAAACGTTGTGCTCCTCAACAACCAGCTTCTTGTTACAACAAACTAGTGCATAACTCCAGAACCTGGCCCGACCTGACAGTAACAGGAAATGTGATTTTGACACACAGCTCTGGGGGTTGGGGGGGGGGGGGGGGTGCACTGCAGAGGAAGCAGCATGTCTTTACTTTTAATCCTTCAGTGTTTTTACCAGTGTTCAGTGGTAGCACCTTCAGAAACCAGTCTATGTTCCACAATGACCCACTTTATTTCCAGAGGTAACTTTCTTTTTTGGTGGGGGTGGTGGGGAGGGGGGGGGGGGGGCACTTTACATTGTCAAAATGCTGTTTTCTAAGTTTTTAAAGATGTGGAATCAAATAGAATGAAAATACCGAGCTAATTCTGTCTTTAGAAAAGAGTAGAAACGTCTTTATTGTCGTCGTGTTCATTTAGAGGTGAACGATGCAACGTTTGCCACAGCCGGCGTCGACTTCTACAGTTCAGGGCAGCTGATGTCTGATATACATCAGTTTTTAGTTTAATGCTGGTCAATATTTACATTCCACTAAACACAACAACGGTTCTTTAACTTAAGTAAACATGTGTTTAACAGGCCTGACGTGCACACAACATGTTTAGAAGAGCATTCTTGCCTAAAAGACTAAAATGTGACAGTTAGCTGCTGCTGCTGCACCTTCATTTGACTGGGTGCACTGGTATGGTTGATGTATTAAAAATTACCAATATTGTCCGATTAATCTGCCAAATAATTAGTTTGTGTATATGATGAGATTAGGAGAGCATCTTATATGATGCTTCTGCAACAGCTATAGTTAATTTATTTTAAAAAGATGGATCACTTAACGCTTTAAAGACAATATTAACTAAACTACAAATAAAAAGAAAGCACTATTTACATAACTGCATTTCAGGAACCACAGGGGTTTTGAGTTCTTACAGGGATAAAATAACAGTTTTTATTTTTATTCCATTTACGTATAATACAACTTCTGAAATAGCTAAATGTCTCATATGACCCAGAGTTAAAGGTTTCATTGCTAACTCTAAAATCCAACATAAAAACGGTGCAGTTTGAAGAGTTTACATCAGTATATTTACAGTTATAATGATGTTATTCTGAAGTGCAGGTATGCGCTCAATGTAAACAAAGCACTTTGTCTGCATACTTTACAAATCTGAGCCCAAATACAACAAAATGATCACATTTTTTGCACCAAAATCCATTAACATGGTCATTGTTGAGCTATTTTCAGTCACCAAACACAAACTTTGTTACTAAATATATTAAAGGATGCATTAATCATTGACGAGGGGGAAATGTGCAGGTTTTATTTCTTACTACGTGGTTTTTATTCAATTATTTTATATGTCTTCATGACTTTTCAACCTTTACCATGAGGACTAAAGGAGGCTTTAGTTAATTTAGCAGCCAAAAGTTGTACTCCCAGCTGAACTGATCGGGTCAGGCTTGTGTTTGAAGCTAAAGCTCATTAAACTAAAGTGAAGTAAGATCATCTTCTTTGAAGAAGAATCTGTAGACACCCCCTCCTTTAGTGCGCAGCTGGGGGGCCTCCAGCACCCAGAGTCCTGCTTCCTCATGTCAGCTCTCAGGCAACAGATCCGAACCCTGCGACCCGCGTTCTTTTTTTATTCAGTTTCATATGTGACGGAACCCGTTCAGGAACTACACCCCACCGCTAACTGACCGGGTGATAGTCGGAGCCCACTTTGTTTATTTTAAAAACAGCTCACTACTTCGTTGCCCAGATAAGCCCTTTCAGTTTAGCGCACTGTTACACACTTTGGTCGCGATCCCCACCACAGTTCCCCTGAGCGGCTGCAGCTCGCGTTGCATGCCGGTACCTGTAGTTCTCACCCCTCCCAGCCTCTCCGGCGTCCAACGCTGGGCGTGGATATCCGAGCACTACATCTCCCATGGTGTCGCCCTCCGTGCCCCCTCTCCCTCGGCTCTCTCCCACCAGACTGGAGGCTGGAGATACGGAACGGACGGTCTTGACGACCCCCTCCTTCTCCTCCCTTCCTCCCGCCCCCCTCCTCCCCGGACTTTTAGAACCGTAAACCGTCGAGCCCAGTGAGCAGCCGCGGACGGCGGAGGCTGGACACGGCCGTACCGCCGCGGTGCCGGAGACGTCGTTGCCATCTGGACGAGCGGGTTCGTAACTGTTTGTGTCATGTAGACATCTCCTGCCTGGCCCGCTGGTTAGCACGGGAACGGCTCAATATTTTAGATAAGAGTGTAAAAAAGCAGCTGGGGGGGGGGGGGGGGGGGGGAGGCTCGGTGGGTCGGGGGCTGCCTTTCAAAGCCGAAGTGTGTCTCAGTCGGTGCTCCAAAGGGCCGATAAGAGAGCGGAGCAGTTCGCTTGAAGCGGCCGGAGATAACTGAGAGCAGCCGCCTCAACACGTTCACCACCGGCAGCAGCGAGGGTTTGGCGGGGACTCCGCTGCGCAGGAGCCGGACCCGTTCTGGAGGTAGAGCTGGTCAGTGGACTTCATACTGTCCCCCCACCCCCCTCGTTTTTACCAGGAGCACGAGCCTGTGCAATAAGTTGTGTCACCCCCTTGTCCTTCTGTCTTCAGTCGGTTACTTTGTCCATCCGTGTGCCTGGAAGTCCACCGGGTCCATTATTTGTTTGTCCAAACGTCCGCTGACATGCGGTACTTTCTCCGTTCGGTTCGGTTCTCCTTCCGTTCACTTACCTCATCGTTCGGCCGTAACTGTGCTCGTGCATCGGTAGAGGAAATGAAACGGGGAAATCTTCCACTATCACTTTGTTTTTCCCACCCCGAACCCGCCGAAACAACGTCAGTCCCGGTCCGGACCGCGTTTGGAGCCGAGGGCAGCCGGTGTCTGCTCGGTGTTCTGCGGGAGGACCGAGCACCTGAGAGCCGGAAGCCTCCGTCTTTACGCTCGGAGAGGAACCGGAGCTCTCCAGAGTTTTTCCTGCTGATATTTACAACAGAAAGCGTTTGGTCTTTCAGCGTGCATGCGGTCTCATTGTTGTGTTGGTGCCGCGAGCAGGACCGGCTGGAAGTGGGTCCACCACAGGAATAAGGCGGCTGGTCGTGTCCGAGGTGTTTGTTGTGGACTTGTGTTTCCGCTGGCCTACATGGGAGCGGACGGATTGACTCGTTGCGGAGCAGACAACGACCTGAGCACAAAGACGAGCCGGCGGAAGCAACTGTTGTTCGGTTAATGTATGCAGAGAGACCTCCTTCATCACAGCGGAGGTTCTGTCATCTTGTTTAAATCTCTGCGGGTCAAAGGTGAAACATCTCCATCCCTTCAGAGCTTTAACACGGATTTATTCCTCCGCACCCGGAGCACATGATTTATGATAAACTCCATGTTGTTTAGAATTGATTGCTGTTTTGAGTCCAGTTTTAAATGAGCATCTTTAGTCCTCAGTTTTACAGCATCAAAGCCTTTGCTTGTTTCCATGTTGTTTTTTTGGCTGCTCTCTTCTTCAGGGGTCGCAGCGGAAATATTTGATCATTGCTTTGACCTTACTGACACTGGGCTCAAACCTGCAACCTCAGGATTAGCAAGACTGAGGCGTTGGCCACCGAGCTACTGCAGCCTGGTTTCTATCGCCTGTAGTTTGTGACACTTTTGGCAGAGTTTTATCTTGTGTTGAGAAATGATGATGGAGTTGTTTCGGTCAAACCATTAAAAAAATAACGTTATGTGAGACATCATGCTCAGTATACATGTCATGGATGACTCTCAACTACTGCCGTATTAAATTTTAGGTCAGTATTTGTATATGTTACTGCACTGTAGCCATTTTTGTATTGGCTAATGCCATTTGGCTATGGTGGCCATCTTAAACTGGACAGACTCCAAATATTAATCAGTTGTTGATGTGCATCTATTGATTACTTTCTGAAAGTTTCTTTAAAATATATCCTGTGGTTCGTGAGATATTTTGCTAACAGACATAAACAGGCGATACAAGCAAACACAAAATTGCATAGATAGAGAAATTTACTAATTGGCTTTTATGTATGTGAATGTTTCTGTAAAGTGCCCTGAGACAACTTTGTTGTGATTTGGCGCTATATAAATAAACTGGATTGATTTGAATATTATTTGACCCACCATTAGTTGTTTCATGTATGGATTCCTGAGTGAGCGCACAGGGGACAGACTCGGTGGTCCAAGGGGTCAGGGGTCACCTTTGCATGAGCTTCTGTGTGGCGTTCGTAGTGAAATCTCAGTTTGTACGTTTATTGGTTGAAGGTTTTACTTTATTGTCATTCACATCACGTGGTACATGAGGTGGAACAAAACTATGTACATAGGGTCCCAGTTACATCCAATAAAAATACAAATTGTAAAGAAAAACAGTAGTAAGAGCCAAGACATAAACTAAGAATACACTTAGTTTAGTACTCTAAGCACTAATGGTACAAAAACAGTGTGCCAGAAAACAGCAGCACGAACATGAGTCTGTGTGAACAGATGAGGACGAATGAAAACACCCAACATGAAATAAATCAGCAGCATGAGATCAGCATCATGGATAGTCAGCAGCACATAAAAACCAAGTGGCATTACAGTGACTTTTTTTTTTTTACACAGTAATTTTCACAGTGATTTTCCTGGTTAGATATTCATGAGGTCTAACAGCTTCAGGGTAGAAGCTGTTCCTCAGTCTAGTGGTTCTGCACTTAATGCTCCTCAACTTTCTGCCTGAGGGGAGCAGGACAAAAAGTGTGTGCTGGGTGTGTGGGGTCCTTCAGGATGCAGGTGGCCCTCTTCCTGCATCTAGAGGTGTAGATGTCTGTGATGGTGGGGAGACTGACTCCAACAGATCTTATTGGTGCTCATCAAGCAGAACTCCTTTCCCCAAAAAAGCTAAGGAATTGTGGATTAAGTAAAAAAACAAGTGCCTGATACAATAATTTACAAGTTATTTGTAAATGTCTAATGTTGAAATGACAACTTGTTTCAGGAAGCTTTGGACAGGCATGTTATCACTGTGTTGCCATGAGCGTGCTCTGTGTTTTACAACCAGAAGTCATAAATTGATGTAGTGTAGAGAGCAAAATATTTTCAGATTTTTTCTGTGTTTTAAGATAAATGTTGCTTTAGGTCCTTTTGCAAACACCTCGAGCTGGGATCTAAACGTCTTCTGCCCGTCTCTGAATTTCTGAATAGAACCGAGGCAGCAAGGGGGGTGGAAGACAACTCACTCTTGATGTTCATCTGCGCTGCAAAGCAAGGTAGTAACAGAGCCAAAATGATGTGACGACGTAATATATGATGTCATCCATTCGCAGGATTAAACAACAACAAACCGCTTCATTATGTTGACGAGATCCGTGATGGTGCACAACTCAGTTTTTAGTTTCAAATCTTATTAACCACAAAGAGAATGGTTAAACTGGTGTTTCATCGTGTTTTGAAAACAATGCCAGGCTGTCACGTTTAATGCGTTATCAGCGGAGTTCTGCTCCACGCCTCTTTTGGTTCTGCGATGCTCACTTCATTTCTGAAAGCTTGTGTCTGTGCGGGACGTGGCCAGCTCCATCTGTTTTTTTATTGGGTCTTCACAGATGTGTTTTCACGTTATCCATACAATGTTTAGCGATGCCCCCATAACTTTGTAGATGTGGTATTCTAACCTGTGTACATGAACCACCTGGAAGAGGCAGCTAATCAATAGCCAACAAGAAACTTTGTGCAAAACCTTAAAAAAACTTAATCATGACAGTTTTCTCAACAGTTTGTTTTCACTGAAATCAGGTGCAGGGAAAAGTGACACACTTGATGGTTTCTTTCACAGTGGAGTTTATCTTGTTTTGTTTTCCCAGAAGGTTTTTACGGCTCATAAAGTCATGCACACAATAGAATCTGCTCTGTTTTTAATGCAAGGCCACATAAGAGCTTGAAGGTTGTGGATATTTAGAATCAGGGTTTGGCCTTGCTATTTCACTGGATTCTCTGCGTCTTTATCGCCCGCCACCACAGGCGTGAGTGCATGTGAGCGTGCACCATTAGCAAAATATTTTATGAACAACTGGACAGATTTCAATTAAACTTTCAGGATGTAATTATTGGGTTTATATATATATATATATATATATATACTACAGATTACCTTTGAGACTCAATCCAAATCAAGATGGCTGCCACAGCCAACTGACCTTATAAAATACAAACCCGGCTAAGCCTTTAATTTCAAAACGTTGTGTACCATAAATCATGAAACATTTCAACCTAAGAAAGAGCCTATATTATTTAAAGAAACTATAAAATGCACCGTGTCTTTGCCTCTATGGAACTTTGCTAAAAAGGCAGAGTAAACATGTTAAAACCTAAATAATCTAGTTATAAAGTCTTAGAGCTGGTGAAGATCCTAAAAAATAAAACCAAAGCTGAAGTGTCTTCTTCAGCCATGTTCACTTTTGTTATTAACATACCGTATTTTACGGTGTATAAGTCGCAGGTTTTTTTGCATAGATTTGTCAGTCCTGTGACTTATATACGTTTTATTTTCCATATTCATAACGCAGTTTTTGACTGATGCTTTAAATATTGACAATTTAAAAATTGCCCATTAAATAAATTTATAATAAACACAACTGGTCAGCAGTGACGCATAATAAACGTGACTTATGCTCTGGAGCGAATTATACGCTGGAAAATACGGTACCTGTTTGCTGATTCAATCACAAATTACAGCTCAAAGTGAGTGTCTTTACACTTGGTGTCGAAGTGAATTCCCTCATGTATCCTGACTGAGCGCTTGTCCTCAGATCTGTCACACTTCTATCAAAAGCAAAACAAACGTAACCACGGTCAGCATATGTGCCGATGTTTCTTTAAAATCACACTTCTGTTCAGCCACATCCACTGTAATTATTTATACTTTAACACATGCCAGAGTTACCTGTGCTGAGACGAATAAAGAAGCTTAAAATAAAGATCTTGAGATCTTACAGAGCTCAGTGTCCGTGCCGCTCTGCGCACAAAGACAGAAGCACAGACGCTTTTAAACTCTTGTTTCCAGCAGTTCACCAACCTGGCTGTTTCTACAGTGCTAAGTGTATAAGTGAGCGCACGTTCAACGTATGTTTGGAAATATTAGACGCTTGTGATTTAGCTGATGCCAAATGTTTTACAATATAGCGACCATAGTCATTACAATCAACGGCAACAACATAGAGTCAAAAATGACATTTACAACACTGTAAAGTCTTTTACACTGATTCTAATTTTTATTTATGCAGTAGTCCCACGATTATCGCAGGGGTGACGTTTCAGAAACCCCCGCGATAGGTGAAAATCTGCAAAGTAGGAACGCTATACATGGGCCTGTGATCGGAAGATCGCCGGTTCAAGCCCCGGTACCGACAACTTCAAAAATGTGGGTTGGGGGGGGGGCATTCAGGCATTCTTGAGGGCCAGTGCTGGGCCAGAGGTGGTCGATTGAGTCCAAGTTTAGATGAAAAAGGTCCTGGTGGACTCTGGAAACAGCGCTGGACCTATTGTGGCACGTCCCCACTTGGGGTTCTCGTGGGCCGGCTAGCAGCTCTCTGATTCGCCGATGGGTCTGGAGGTCCGGTTCTAGTCCGGTACCCGGTGGGTTCTGTGCAGCTCTCTGCATCTGCTGGGCACTGAAGTTCCAGTATGAATAAGGACCAAACTTTTCCCAATCAGAACAAAACTTTCCCTCTACGTATTTCAGCAGAAGGAAATGGGGCTTCTGGGCAGGGCACTTCTGGGAAATGTGGTCATTATGAGCGGGGGATACAGTATAGGCTTATTGAGAGAAGACTACAAAATGGTGGCACCTGTCCAAAGTATTTTATTTTTGCATTAACTTTTTACTATTTTTTGAGTGGCTGAGATGGGATAGAGGCAGGACAGCCAACCCAGGATCCGAAAGTCCTATGTTCGATCCCCAACCATTCCCACATGTCGTGGTGCCTCTGAGCCAGACACCCAATCCCTAATTGCTCCCTGGGCGCCTACATAGCTGCTCACTGCTCCACCTGGGTGTATCCCAGGTACGATGGGTTAAATGCAGAGAACTAGTTTTGCCATTGTATGGGAACATACAATGATGGCAACACATAGCACGTATTATTATTATTATCATTATTATTATTACTGTACAGAATTCAGTACTATTCCAATCATGTGAGTAATATTAAAGTTGACAATCGTGTCGTGTATATGTTTTTTTCATGTTCAATCCTACTTTGAAAAACCATGAAAGAGCGAGTCTGTGAAAGTCGAACCGCAAAGTATCGAGGTACTACTGTATTTTTATGTCAAGGTTCTTGACCATAGATGGGGGTTGACCATAAATCTTTTTTTTCCCTAATTTTTTTTAAATTTTATTATTAGTATAATTCAACAAACTGCTGCTGCACCATTTGGATAAGCTGGCAGATATGTCTAATTTGCTTTACAGCTTTTAAAGAATGTATTCCTTCTGAAGTGAAGGAAAGAAGGCATTGAAAGGAGTATTTTGGTGGTGGTATCACTGCTTGTTTGGTATCACTGTAGGATGGTAGGTGTTTTACCCAGAATACAGTTCAGCTCAGACGTCTAAATGTGAGTTCAAGCATCCTAAAGCTACATCTAAATGTAGTTTGAGCAACAGAATCTGAGTGTGTTTTTAATTTGAATTGTGTTCAAACACCTGTGTTCAGTACTGTCCACCAGTACTTATGACTGGATTGTCTGGGAGCTACGTTGGTATCAAATGTCAAGAGTGCATCATTTTACGACACTGCTCTATCAGGAAATTGTAACATGACTGATTTTCAAGCTTCTCCGATAAAAGGAAGTTTTCATTGGCCAGTGTTACATTTAGTCTGCAACTGTTGCATACAGTACTTCTTATTTTGTTGTGAAGTTTAAATATAATATTTTATCAAAGAGAACAATACAGTGTGTATGCTTAAAATTTTAATTTTAATTTTTATATTCTGCAGCTTGTCGCTTTCTTTCAAAGAAAACTGTCCTGACTGGCTCAGCTAACACCTGAGGCATGTTTTGCTAAAGGAACACCTATGCAGGTAATTGTTTTTCTCTTTGTTGAAGTTGAATTACTTGATTAGAGCATTTTGTTCTCTTATTCACTTAACACTGGCCTCATTAACCTCTGTCATTACTCAGGTGGATTCTGCACTAATGAATGTAGGGGTTGGAGGCACGGTGAGCAGAGAGATCAGTGCTCCGAATAAAACATCCACAAGTATGGTGGGAAATCCCCCCCAGACGTTACCCCCTGAATTTAGAGGAGATGTGAATCTCAGTCAACAGAACAAGACCACACCAATAAAGGACTGTAAGACAGTAAAAGCCTGTCTGGATTCTAGCAATTGCAACCATAACCCTGACCTTTCTTTGCCTCAACAGCCTAATAATGCACCAATGTCTAACTCAGTCCTCACCAGCTCAGAGAAGAAAACCGACAAAAGGGCAGATACCCCTAAAGTCAGAGTTGACGGTGCTGGGGTCTTCTCCACTCCTCAGTGGTCAAGCAGTATAAAAGCCAGCCGAGAGGACTCTCTCAACCCTTGTCACAGCAACGTGACGTCCAGCAAGAAACCCCATCCACAAACACAGTCTCTGCAAAGCGTTCCTCCAGGGTTTCAGTGCTCCATGTTTAAACCAGCCCAGCCCGTTGCCTTTCTTCCTTCCACTAATTTTTCTCCTCAGCTTTGTAAAATTACTCTTCCACCAGCATTAGGACAAATCGCAGCTTTGAGAGAAGCCGCAGGCAGTCACTTTCAAAAAGAAATTCAGCCTCAAAGCTCTGGTGTTGGAGGGGCAGCTCTCATGCGGACTTATCCCTATTCGTTGTCTGTGAGCCGGACCCTAGACAAAAAAGCAGGCGGATCGAATGTAAAGCTCAAATCTAACCACTCGTCGAACAAGAACGCCAAACCACACGGAGAACACAAGTCTCTGGCCTCTGTGGTGGCCTCACCAGCTATTGCCCTACCATTGCAGCATCCATCATTAACTTCAGCGCCCACTCACTACACCTTGTCTCCCACTGCTGCCATTTGCTGTGGCTCTGCACTGGCCAGCCTCACCTCCCAGAGCAGATTTCTGAACCACGTGGAGATAGCCAACAGCATAGACAAAACAGCCATGGTCTCTCTGAACCCAACCCCTCCTTCTGCTGAGGACAACACAGTTTGCTCATCTGAGCTGAGAGACGTTCCTCTTGATTTGTCTTCTAAGTCAAAACGTCCAAAATGCATAACTGATGTTCCAGTTTCTATGATGGAGCCTCCTAACGAGTCAAATCAGAGAGATTTTCTGAACGCAAAGAAAACTCATTCTACAACTTACAGCTCAAACATGCAATATCCTACTTTACCAAATTCACACCGAAATGGATCGCACCAAAAGCAGATAAATAGGACTCAGAATCACCAGGTCCCAGAACTCAAACCAACTTGGGCTAAAGGATCCTCACAAGACACTATGAAAAGTATCCCTGGTACCTATGTAGGTGTGGCTAGCCCCATACTGGCTTCTACTCTAAGGGGTAAGGATGGAAAAGGGTCCTTCACCGATGAATTTCAAAGTTTTGCAAAGCAAGAGTTTATATCTATTATTGACCAAGGAGAACATCTGGTCTCAGGAGGAAAGAAGCCATCTTGTCTGATGAAGGGCAACCAACATGCTCACAGTGGTAAGCATGTAAAAAACACCAGCACAGCCATAACTAAGAATTGCCCCCCAAAAGGAGCACTGACAACTCCTCCAGTAAGCTCTGCCAATGCTCAGGGACCTCAGAAATCTGGACACGGCAAAACATCAATGCCGTATTCCAACGCTGTTGTCAGTCCAGCTTGGCAGCAGCAGTCTAACCTTCCTCAGCAACCATCAGCTGTTCAGAGAAAACTCATACAAGGATCTCCAAAGACCAAGGGCGCCACAGTCACAGAGGGATGCAAGTTCTCACAGAGCGCCCACCACAGCCCATCAAAACCTGAGGATAACAAGTGGGAGAGTATGAAATCTCCCCTTTCCAACCTTACATCTATTGTAAAGCAGCAGGTTCTCGAAACAACCACGCTCACAGGTGAGAGTAACACTCTAGGCTCGCCTGGTGCGTCAAGAAAAGCTGATGTTTTGAATTCACTTATTGGGAGCCAAGACACCCAGTCAAAGCATTCTTCTGCCATTGACTATCCATCATACTGGTCTGTGGAGAAATGGCCTGGTGTCCCATCTCAAGAGGAACTGATGAAAAAACATGAGAAGACGACTAAGGCTGAAAGTTTGGAGAATAATACTGAAGAGCGTATGGGGCCACAGGCGAAGCAAGGTTCCTCAAAGCCTACTGGCCAGTCTCATCTCTTTGGGGGTAATGCATCAACAAATGGGGACAGGTTGGAAAGCACATTAGCCCAGGTGTTGGAGGGGGAGATATTGAAGAAAGAAAGTGGGACATCAGACAGCCCTCCCAGTGAAAAATTGGAGGGCATGGTTGCATCCATTCTAACAGGCCATTGTGCAAGCAGGGGTGACAAATTTGAGAAAAAGACAAACGGAACCAAAGAGGAGTCGCCAACCAAAGCAAAAGCTGCCACGAACAAACAAAAGAAGACCAGTCCTAAGAAGCCTGCGAACGAGAAGTCGCCAGCAGAGTCGTTAAAGAAGGCCGCAGGAAAGAAAAAACAAGGAACAGAAAATTCTCTGGAACAAGTGTCTTTTAATAAAAAGGTAAATGAACAGTTTGTGTGGTTATAAGTCCATTTAATGTTTAAAACACCTTCACGTAACTTTTATTGTCTTTTTTTACTTGGATATAAAAAGGTCACCTTGTTATTTGATCAGAGCTCCATTTCATAATTGTAATCTATGATTGATGACGTAACATTCCAAGATCTGTGATTGTGAGTCTGCTTCCTATTCCTATGAAAGCTTGTGATCAATAGCATTCTGTGTTGTGCGCTCACTCCGTCCCCTGTGAATTTCAGCAGAAGAAACAATCTGCACCTGTGTTGGAGCGGAGCCTGTCAGCGGGAAAACTTTCCCCGCAGCGTAAGGAGCCACTTCCAAAGGACAAGATCCGTCTCAACGAGGCTGAACAGCTAGCCTGCAACAAAGCAGGTACGAGCTTTGTCTTTCGTAACGATGCCACATTTGCTGCCCTAAAAAATGCTCCCAGCGTGCACGCATCTGTGATATCCATCACAAATGTAATGATGCTCTTCGTTGTGTCAAACATACAGCCTTGCTTTGAGCTCAGGGAGATTTTTCAGGGCTCCATTTTTTTTTCTTTTAGAGATAAACAGCCTTCTTTGAGTTGTCGTGTGTGAGCGCAGGCACATTTCTTTGGTAGTTTTTGATGTTTTAGTCATATAAGCTGATGTGAATGCATTAATCAGGTTTCTCTTTTGTCAGTTACAGAAAGCAGCAGCAGTCCTCGGAGGGAAAAGACTTCAGTGTTTCTCAATGACTCGCTCGGATCGGGCAAAGAAGCAGATGCAACAGAATCCTCCTTCCCAAGGCTGAGGAGAGGACGAAGGCGAGCTGATGATGCTCGACTTGACCTCTGGGGCTTTGCAACCCCTTCTCCTCCACCTCCAGCCATGCCTCCCCCCGCAGTTTCTCCACCACCCCCACCGACTCCCAGCCAACCAGTCCGCCGTCCAAGAGGGCGGCCTCGATCGAACACTCTGCAGGACCGCAAGAAGAAGGCAGCCGGTGCAGAGGCCGACACACCTCCTCATAAGAAACGCCGGAGATGGTCCAGTAAGAAGTACGAGACGGGTGAATACATCACCGAGAAAGACAAGCTGGAGGACGGAGAGCAGCTCGAAGACCCCCTGAGACACAACACTGAAATACCTCCAGGTTTGTAGTGGTCTTTTACTCCACCGTGTCCGTCTGAATCATCAAAAGCTTTTGTCATGACTTCAGATTCATTCATCTTTCACATTTGACTAAAGCAGCAATGCTCAATATTTTATTAAGTTTTGGGTTGAAATAAAAAGTTGATTTGAGAAACTGATGTAAAACTTCACAGGAGAGGTAATAAATCAGCAGGGGGTAAACTTTTAGTGCGGTCTTGATCCAGGGTTTGTACAGTACCAGACCATGACAGCCTGTTGTGCAGTTTGTGATTAAAAGATGAGGAAAGTGTACAAGTGAAGAGCAAATGAAGAGTCAGAGCTAAAGAGACGAACAGTATCTGAAAATGGTGTAACGGTACGTTTGAGTTATGGGTTGGTGTGGGATTGGTACAGCAGGAAATAGAGACAAATGTCAAATAGTAATTTTTTATTTTTTTTAACCAACAATAATCCTCAAAACCAGACAGAACACCACACATTCAAGGATTTAAGGTTCTTTATTTGTCATTCGCACCACATGTGGTACATGTGGCGGAACGAAATTATGCACACAGGGTCCCAATTACATCCAACAATAAAATGTAAAAGAAAAACAGTAACAAGATCTAAGATATGAACTAAGAAAAACATCAGCTAAATATACACTAAGCACTAATAGCATAAAAACATTATGCCGAACAGCAGCACGAACATGAGTCTGTGTGAGCAGATGAGCACGCATGAACACAGCAACATGAAACATATCAGCAGCAACATGATGTGATTTTTGTCACAGTGATTATTCTGGTTAGAGATTCATGAGTCTAACAGCCTTAGGGTAGAAGCTGTTCCTCAGTCTATTGGTTCTACACTTAATGCTCCTTAATCTCCTTCCTGAGGGGAGTGGGGCAAAAAGTGTGTGCTGGGTGAGTGGGGTCCTTCATGATGCAGGTGGTCCTCTTCCTGCATCTGGAGGTGTAGATGTCTGTGATAGTGGGGAGACTGACTCCAACAGACTTCTGTGCAGCCTTCACCACTCTCTGCAGAGCTTTTCTTTTTGCAGCTGTGCAGCCTCCATGCCACATGTTGATGCTGGAGCACAGGATGCTCTCCACTGCACACCTGTAGAAGGAGGTGAGGACTGAGCTTCCCAGACCAGCTTGCCTCAGCCGCCTGAGGAAGTAGAGTCACTGATGAGCTTCCTTGATCAGGCTGGTGGTGTTGTTGCCCCAACACTTGTTAATGGGGAGGCAACAATTTACAGTAAGTTTGTTAACTGGTAAATACATTGTAAAATTAAAAAAACACTCAGTTATATTCATCCAATTTGAACCATAAACAGTGTTCCACAGGCCATGTGTCAAATAAAAAGTGTTGTAAACTTCAAAAAAGAAACGTGTTTCTCTTTTGTTTAAAAAAAAAAAAAAAGGTCCAATAAAAGCAGTGCCACTGTTTCCAAACCGTTCATGTGCCTGTGGGTTTGCGCTGAGCGCAGCTTGCCACCAAGCTTCAGCTGAACAAGCCTAACATCTCCAAACTCTGAGGATATTCCTGCTTGTTATGTTTCTTCGTCCTCGTTAGTAAAATAACAAAATGGCTTCTCAGACAGATTCACACAGCTGTGGCTGAAAAAAACGAGTGACTTCTTGAATGTAGTTTTGGTCTCCCAGCAGTCAGCTGAAGGTGGTCACCCTCCCGCTCTGGGCTTTATCCCCTCTGCACATACTGATTCATGTGTGAGGTGGGCTCTGCGTTAGTTTAGATAGCTTTGTCTGCTCTTTTGTTGTTGTTACAGCGGTTAGCAAAAAGTAATAAAAAATATAAAAGAGATGATTGTTGTGACACGTATTTGTTGTCTGGTCCCTGTATTTGTTTAGAGCTAAATTACTAATTTAAACACATCGCATTCTCTTTGCTTTGATATTTTTTAGGCTGGGCGTAACACGGTGCTTAAACTTTAATTCTTTTGTAAGGTGTCTGATATGTATTGACAGCACTTAAATTTAGGAGCATTTTTACATCTGAACGAGTCATAGGTCAGGGTTAAGATGTTTACCTTAGCAAAACAAACAAAAACATTCTCATAAAATGGACAAGTACATAAAGGAAAATGTAAAAAAACAAACATTGAAAGACTTTTGGGAAGCCTGAAAAGAAAGTACAAATAAATTAGGGATGACTCAAGACTTTTCTCCAGTTCTGTAATAGTGTGAATGTTTATGAAGCATTAACTCTATTGTGATCCGTTTTTCTTCCGTACGTTTTTCGGTGTGATTCTCATCCGGCAGTTTTTAAGCTATTTCCACAAATCACATATCAAAATGTCTGGCTGTTTCAGGACAATCCTGCAATGACTTGGTATTGGTGCAAATTTAACTTTTTGAAATATTTATCCTTTTCTGCTACTTTTTGTGTCATAGCTCATTTTACATCCTTCAAATCTTTAGATCTGTTTACAACCTTTTACTGCTCCTTTCACATTTTGTTCTGCTTCAGCTTCTTTGTGCAAATTTAAACTTTCTTTCAGTTAATTTCAGCTGTTTTGTGCTCCTTTCAGATTTTTTCTGCTAACTACAGGTCCTTCTCAAAAAATTAGCATATTGTGATAAAGGTCATTATTTTCCATAATGTAATGATAAAAATGAAACTTTCATATATTTCAGATTCATTGTACACCAACTGAAATATTTCAGGTCTTTAATTGTTTTAATACTGATGATTATGGCATACAGCTCAGGAAAACCCAAAATGCCTGTCCCAAAAAATTAGCATATTTCATCCCACCAATGAAAGACAAGTGTTTTTAATACAAAAAACACCAACCTTCAAATAATCATGTTCAGTTATGCACTCAATACTTGGTCAGGAATCCTTTTGCATGAATAACTGCTTCAATGCGGCGTGGCATGGAGGCAATCAGCCTGTGGCACTGCTGAGGTGTTATGGAGGCCCAGGATGCTTCGATAGCGGCCTTAAGCTCATCCAGAGTGTTGGGTCTTGCGTCTCTCAACTTTCTCTTCACAATATCCCACAGGTTCTCTATGGGGTTCAGGTCAGGAGAGTTGGCAGGCCAATTGAGCACAGTAATACCATGGTCAGTAAACCATTTACCAGTGGTTTTGGCACTGTGAGCAGGTGCCAGGTCGTGCTGAAAAATGAAATCTTCATCTCCATAAAGCTTTTCAGCAGATGGAAGCATGAAGTGCTCCAAAATCTCCAGATAGCTGCATTGACCCTGCGCTTGATGAAACACAGTGGACCAACAGCAGCAGATGACATGGCACCCCAGTGACTGTGGAAACTTGACACTGGACCTCAAGCAATGTGAATTCTCTGTCTCCTCTCTTCCTCCAGACTCTGGGACCTTGATCTCCAAAGGAAATGCAAAATTTACTGTAATCAGAGAACATAACTTTGGACCACTCAGCAGCAGTCCCAGGCAAGATGCTTCTGACGCAGTCTCTTGTTCAAAAGTGGCTTGACCTGGGGAATGCGGCACCTGTAGCCCATTTCCTGCACACGCATGTGCACGGTGGCTCTGGATGTTTCTACTCCAGACTCAGTCCACTGCTTCCGCAGGTCTGGAATTGACCCTTCTCCACAATCCTCCTCAGGGTCCGGTCACCTCTTCTCGTTGTGCAGCGTTTTCTGCCACACTTTTCCCTTCCCACAGACTTCCCACTGAGGTGCCTTGATACAGCACTCTGGGAACAGCCTATTCGTTCAGCAATTTCTTTCTGTGTCTTACCCTCTTGCTTGAGGGGGTCAATGATGGCCTTCTTGTCAGCAGTCAGGTCGGCAGTCTTACCCATGATTGCAGTTTTGAGTACTGAGCAAGGCTGGGAGTTTTTAAAAGCCTCAGGAATCTTTTGCAGGTGTTTAGAGTTACGTCGTTGATTCGGATGGTTAGGTTAATAGCTTGTTTAGAGAACCTTTTCATGATATGCTAATTTTTTGGGACAGGCATTTTGGGTTTTCATGAGCTGTATGCCATAATCATCAGTATTAAAACAATTAAAGACCTGAAATATTTCAGTTGGTGTGCAATGAATCTGAAATATATGAAAGTTTCATTTTTATCATTACATTATGGAAAATAATGACCTTTATCACAATATGCTAATTTTTTGAGAAGGACCTGTACAACATTTTTGAGCCTCTTCTAACTTCTTTCTGCTAATTTCAGCTCATTATGCTCCTTTCAGCTGATTTCTGCAAGTTTCAGCATTTTCTGCTATTTCAGCTACTCAGCTATTTTAGCAGTTTTATGCTAATTTTAGCATCCAGCCATCCATCCATGATCTTTTTACCAGCTTATTCCATTTTTGGGTCACAGGGGCTGCCGGTGCCCATGTCCGGCAATCACTGTGCGAGGGGTGGGGGACACCCTGGACAGGTCTCCAGTCCATCACAGGGACACATAGAGACAAACGAGACAAACAACCATTCACTCTCTCACTCACACCTAGGGACAATTTAGAGTTACCAATCAGCTAACATGCATGTTTTTGGTCTGTGGGAAGAAACCGGAGTACCCGGAGAAAACCCACGCATGCATGGAGAGAACATGCAAACTCCACCCAGAAAGGCCCCTGGACTGGGATTTGAGCCAGGGACCTGCTCGCTGAGAGGCAGCAGCTCTACCAGTTGCGCCACCATGCTGTCCTAATTTTTGCATTTTCAACTAATTCCACATTTCTTGCACTCATTTCAATGTTTGCAGCCTAATTCAACAAAAATGTGCTCTCCACTTGGTTCTGGTAATTTCAGCTTCTTTCTGAATTTTGTTCTGGTAGATTCATATTTTTCCAGAAAAGTTCCACTTTTTTGTGCTCATTTCTGTTTCTTTCAGCCTAATTGATCAAATGTGTTCTTTCTGCTTTCTTCTGCCAGTTTCAGCTTTTTAGCATTTTTAGCTAATTTCAGCTGTTTTCAGATAAATTCAAGTCTTACTTGGTAATTTCTGCTACTTCCAGCCAAATTAACATCTTTATGCTCCTTTCAGATTATTTCTGATAGTTTCAGCTTTTTCTGCTATTTCAGCTACTAATTAGCTCTTTTTATGCTAAATGTAGCTTTTCAGCTAATTCCAAATTTTTGGAGCTTATTTCAGCACTTTCCATTTCCTTCTGGTATTTAAGCGTCTTTTTACCTTTTCAGCTACTTTCAGCAATATTTTTTAGCTAATTTCAACTTTTTTTTAGCTAATTTTCCAAAATTGTTGTGCTCATTTCTGTTTATTTAAACCTAATTCAGCAAATATGTGTTCTTTCTGCTTTCTCCTGCTAAGTTGGGCTTATTCTTCCATTTCAGCTATATTTCAGCATGTTTTTTTTTAGCTAATTTCAGATGAAAGTTCTTCTGCAACAAATATCTTCTGCATTTTCGAAGGAAATGCAGTTTCTCTTGTTAGTTATTGTAATATTTCAATCATCAAGCACATAATGCATTATCTGCTGAAAGCCTCAGAAATGAAGCCTAATGCTTCAGATTTTTATTCATTGTATAAATCTGTATTTTTATCTGTTGACTTCAGCAAGAGTGACAAAAATATTATTGAACATACACTAAGCAGTGATTCATATTTAAATAGAAATAAAATAAATGTTTATTTATTAAAACACCAAGAAATAAAAAATGATGAATGAATCAGCTCTGAAACAGCTGAAGGTTTGAACGTGAATTTTCAACATCTGTCGTCGGTTGGTTTGTTTTTGACCAGCAGTATTTTTTAATGATCGTATTTGACAGTTTGTTCCAGAAAATGTTCAACCGGAATGTTAAGGAACAAGTTTAGGTGTCTGTGGGTAGAAAGAAGACAAAACAAACTTGAGTAAAGCAGTGAGATAAGTTTTGACTAATTTAATGTTGTTTCTGAGGTTGGGACAAGTCGGTGTAATGTCACTTTAATTGTTTTTACTTCATTTTTCACCACAGATCTACAGTGTCAGAGTCCAGCTGTCCCCAGCCCAGATCCACCTCCACCGAGATCCTCGTTCACTCGCTCAGGTTCGGTCCGCTACCAGGGGAGTGAGGAGTCTCCTGAGTTTAACAATAAGCCTTCAGGGAAGAGAAAGTTCAAAAGCAAACACTTGAGTGACAGTGATGAACCGAAGGTGAGCTTCTGAAGCTGCTTCCTGGATTAGCTTCACGCCATGTGTTGTTTTATGTATATGAAGAATTGCAGCGCCCCCCTGTGGCCTGATGAGATGCCGTTTGTCACTTATTAGACCAGACGGGACTGGAAAGCTCAGATTCATGACTTTGCTTTACAGAAAGTCTCAAATTTATATTTCAGAGTAAAACCAAACGCAACGGTTTGGGGAAGTGTGGCGTCTCCCTCCCCCTGGATGATGATGATGGCGCTGCTGTAAAAGTAGAAGTTACCCCACCACCCACTCCCAAAAGTCTGCCGTCTTCTCCGTCCAATAAGAGGAGCTCATCAGGAAGAAGCGGCGGTTTAGACTCCACCCCAAAAAGGACCATTCCTCCTGAGGTTCGTCGGCTGATTGTGAATAAAAACGCCGGAGAGACTCTGCTCCAACGAGCGGCTCGCCTGGGCTATCAGGTAAACTCCAACCTGACAGACGATGACGTAACCCTTTAAAGCGTGACCCTCTGACAGCCTGTCTGTCCTAACGGCAGGACGTGGTCCAGTACTGTCTCGAAAAAGACATCAGGGAGGTCAATCGACGGGATAACGCAGGTTACACAGCTCTTCACGAGGCGTCCTCACGAGGGTGGACTCAGATTGTCCAAATGCTTCTAAAACACGGTGCAGACGTCAACTGCAGCGCTCAGGATGGGACACGGTGAGGGTTCATGAAGCAGTCACAGTTTGAGCTGGTTCCAAAAAGATGTTCAAACCCTAAAACCTGTTGGTTTTTCAGGCCCCTTCACGATGCAGTAGCAAGTGATAACTTGCCAATAGTGTGGCTGCTCCTGAACCACGGTGCCGACCCGACTCTAGCTACCTACTCGGGCCACACGCCGGTCAAACTGGCCCACAGTTCGAGCATGAAGACCTTCCTCACGGGTAGGTTGTGATTTTCTTCCTGCTCTCTTTCTATCAAATGAACTAATTTTGTGTAAAGTGACAAGTTAAGGGAACATGCATGTATATTTTAAGAGCTAAGTTTTTGTTTACATCATCAGATACAATAAGCGTCACAACTTTAAGGCTTTCACACTTCTAATCAAAAGAGACATGAAAATAATAAACATGTATGTCCACTGTACGAACTCATAAAGCAACGAGTCGGTGGTCACGTTTCAGACGTAGGAGCTAAATCTTCATCTTTCATATCAGAGGCCAGATATCCTGATGAGTTTGTTTTTATCCTGCTGATGAAAGTTATAAGAAATTATCTCCATAAATTAAAACGTTTAGAATGAAATGTTTTGTTTCTTGCTGAAGACTTGAATACTGTTGTAGGAAATGCAACAATTTGTGGATCTTCATCTTCCTTATGATGGGAAGCTTTTTCGTCAAAATTTGTAAAGAACTTTAAATATAATCTCATGCATCATTGTTAAATCTTGACTGATCTGTTAGGGCTTGGAGTATCTGTTGAGGACAACTCAGCTACTACCCCACAGAATAATGGACATTTGTGTTTGCTAAATTTGCTCAGCTGTAGAGGCCATCTTTAATATGGTTGTCATAGTCATCACTGGAGTTTTATCAGATTTTTTGGTAACGGTACTGACAAACACACACAGGCAAAATCATGATCACCTTTGGCGATGGGTAGTCGATAACAAAAATACATTTCAAACTGTAAAATGGTTTAAAAACTATTTATTGAAGAAAGTCAGCGGATAATTGTTTTACGGTTTTTAAGCTGTCAGGTGATGGAAAACTAAAACATCTGGTTGATGCACGGAGGAGGTTTGATTTGTTAGGATTTATGAGAGGATATGTTCAGGTTAGAGTATACAGTAGTCCCTCATTTATTGTGGGGGTTACGTTCTGGACTCCCCCTCAATAAGTGAAAATCTGCGAAGTAGGGACGTTGTATTTATTTTAGTGTTTATATATAATATATATATTAAGACTTTATAAACCTTTCCCACACTCTTACAATGTTCTAATCTCTTAAACCTACATCATTTTAACAACATATGTATATGTACTGCACAGTACTGCAAAATTTTACTCACCAGCTCTGCAGAAGACAGCGACTCGGTTCCGGTCCGACTCAGCAGACCTACCTGCTGGACCTACCCAGCCGCTTCTGGTCGGCTCTCAGCAGCCCTTGAGCACCAAAATGCTTTTGGAGGGAGCTGGACCTTCGTAAGGCCAGCATGGGACCAGATGTTGGTACCGATTGAGTCCAGACCCGGATGAAAAAGTCCAGCCAGACCTCCAGGCGGCGCCTCCCCGCTTGAAAGGTCTTGTGGGTCAGCAGGCAGCACTCAGATTCACCAATGAGTCTGGAAGTCCGGTTCTGGTCCTGTTTCCAGTCGGTTCCAAGCACCTCTCTGCATCTGCTGGGAGCCGAAGTCACTATGAATAAGGACCGAACTTTTTCAGATCGGATCAGAACTTTCCATCCATTTCAGCAGAAAGCAACGGCACTGTTGGCTTCTGGGAAATGTAGTCCTTTTGAGTGGTGATACGGTGTAGGCTTATTGAGAGAAAAGTACAAAATGGCGGCACCTGTCCAAAGTATTTTATTTTATTTTTTGTTAACTTTTTATCCCGTACTGTCCCAATCACGTGAGTAATATTAAAGTTGACGATCATGTATCGTGTGCAGTTTTTTTCCTCGTGTACAATGTTACTTTGAAAAACTGAAAGAGCGAGTCTGCAAAAGTCGAACCGCGAAGTAGCGAGGGACTACTGTAGATCATTTCTTAATGTTAGTTTTGTTTTGATTCGTACAACTGAGGCTTCTGCTGCGTCTCCGCTCACTCCACGGATCTCATCGAGTCTGACGCACTAATCAGCTGTAATAACTTTACAAAAAGCTTTTCTTTGAGCCACTCGTGAGCTTTTGTGTTCTCAAGAAGCTCCCGTGTGTCGCCGTAGAAGTTGTGGGAAAATAACGCAAGATCTTTTGTTTGCAGAATATTTCACAGACCTGGAAGGTCGCAAAGACCAGGACCCAAGTTCACCGTGGGATTTCTACAGCAGCTCCCTGTTCGGTAAGAAACCTCAGAGCTGGATCTGCTCATAGATCAAACTAACGTCCCATTTTAATTTGTAAGAGCGACGAGAGAAATAAGCGGGTGAGATCTCATTCCTCTGCTGTGCTCGAGGCAGACACAACGGCCGGGTCGTTGCAGAAGGAGTTGGGTTTACAGGCTGAGCTCATGATTAAACTCTGAGACCGTCAGCAGCGTTGAGTTTTGAGTGTTAGCATCTCTGTTGTGTTAACAACTATAAGAAGCAGATGGAGAACAACAGTTTTACATACAGTATTTTATCATGAAACTAAATGATCTAAACGTTCCCGTTTCATCTGTTTGTGTGTTAGTCGTCAGATTTTTAACATTTATTCTACTTATTATTTTAGATAAATGCTTTGCAGCAGGTCTGCAGGGTTTTTTAATGCTAATGTTGGAAATAAAGCCAAGAAATACAGAAAACACTCTTGCTTCCAAGTGTTTGAATGAGTTTATTCCAAGATAGAAACAGTTACTAAAACATTTTTATGCAGATGTTTCTCGTAACCATCAGTCGCTTCTCCGTGAAACGGTAGGTCTGAACTAAGCGGCCACTAGAGGGCGTGTTAGACTTTGAGTTTTAAAGTTGAGAGTCTGACCTGGGTTAACTTCTCTCCTCAGAGACGGAGCAGGAGGCGTGCTGGGACTTCCTGCTCTCTGAGGAGGACCAGGAGCTGGAGGAGGTCGAAGCGAGGAACACTGAGCAGGACTCGGAGAAAGACTGCCTCCTGTTCGAGTTCTCCTCCGAGCCCCTTTTACCCTGCTATCATGTTCAGGTGTCATTAACACAGGGGTGAGTTCAAAAACATTACTGTGAGTAATTAAAGATAAACGTAACTAAACAGAGTGGAGGCTTTTAAACACAACGAGACCTTCTCAGAGTATCTGTTGCATAAACATGAAATGTGCTGAGAGATACTGAACTGCAGCCGCACCGACACAAGAAGATGCACTTTATCTAAAACAGATTGTAGCTTCACAGTTTCTATAATTGAGGTCACAGAGGAAAGGCAACTGCTGTGACTTTAACCGTGTTTTTTTCTTTTTTCCCGTCCGCACTGAAAACTACACGGTTCCAACACCTGCTGCACACGGACACAAGAGTTACTGCTAACCTGAAGGAATGGATTTTATACAGTAGCCACTCGTTCACTGCGGGGGGTTATGTTCTAGACAAGTCAAAATCTGCGAAGTAGCAACGTTATATTTATTTTTGTATTTATATATATTGTAAGGCTTTATAAACTCTTCCCACAGTCTTGCAATGTTCTAAACTCTTAAACCTACGTCATTTTAACAACATACGTACAGTACTGGACATGCAGCTACTATATTTTACTTACTAGAACTGCAGAACAGCAGCAGCTCTCGGTTTCACTCGGGTTCCGGTCTGACTCTGTAACAGTCCGTCGTAATCACTGTAATAAGCACCGAACTTTTTCTAGTCAGATCAAAACTATCCTTTTAGTATTTCAGCAGAAGGCATGGGGCTTCTGGGAAATGTTCATTCATTCATTCATTCAACCTTTATTTATACAGGTTAATCCCACTGAGCCTCGAGGACTCATTTACAAGAGAGACCTGATTTCATAATGAGCAGGAATACATAGGCTTATTGAGAGAAAACCATAAAATGGTGGCGCCTGTTCGAAGTATTTTATTTTTTCGTTAACTTTTTCTTGTACAATACAGAATCTAGTAGTGTCCCAATCATGTGAGTAATATTAAAGTTGACAATCATGGGTCGCGTACATATTTTTTTTTCTCGTGTTTAATTTTACTTTGAAAACCCGTAAAAGAGCGAGCCCGCGAAAGTCGAACCGCGAAGTAGCGAGGGACTACTGTACCTCAAACTTTAAAGTGCCTGGAATTTTATAATAAACATAAACACATTTTTTGGAAAGATAACAATAATGTTTTGCAAAGAAAATGAATAATTATGCTACAGAGATGACCAGTTGTTGAGACATTTGCATGCACAGTGACAGGAAGTGATGTCAAAGGGGAACGTCTGCATGTGAACAGAGTTGCTACAACGGTTAACAGATGGAAGAGAAAAGTGATGTTTCTTTAGATTGTTTTAAGTTACTATCAGAGAGAGAAGAGTCAGTTCAAATAATGTATTAATGAACAAAGAGCAGAGAATTCCACATTTTAAAAATATTCCACCTTGATGTCACTTCCTGTTTCACTTTAGTCGGGCCAAGTCAATAAAAAAGCCATTTATGTTGAAAAAGGGTTAAATAATTTGTTATGTTTGATTTCTTAAATGTTAAGTTGTTTTCTTCCACTCTTTGTATTTAAGTTATGCGTGTCACAACTCTTTAACTTTACCCAGAACCCCTGGGGAGTTCTGCAGGTGTGACTGTTTGGCACTTACTTCTGTGTCTGCAGTTAGTTTAGGGAACCTTCATGTTTAAAACATGGGAACCTAAAATGACACATCTTCACTGCAGTTTGTTTGTGTTCTCTTCAGTCCATATCTAATGCCTGACGTTTGTTTCTCTGACAGTTTTTGCAACTGGTTCCTCCTGGCAGACGTCCTGAAGCGTCTGAAGATGTCGTCGCGGATCTTCCGGGCTCGCTACCCGCACTTGGAGGTGGTGAGTTTGTCCCAGGCTGAGCTCTGGAGGCAGGTTTCAGTCAGCCAGGTGAACTCGGCTTTAGCTTCTCCACACAGAGGCAAAAGCAAGGAGGATGATGATGAAGAAGAAGAAGAGGGACTTGTAGAACTGGTTTGTTGTGTGCCAGAGCTCCAGAGACTCTTGGGCTCCTCCATTCACATCCTACTAGAGGAGGAGGAGGAGGAGGAGGAGGAGGAGGAGGAGGAGGAGGAGAAGGAGGAGGAGAAGGAGGAGAAACTGACAACAGGGAAGCCTCGGAGCCGATAGCCTCTGATGAACTCCTCCAGCTCTTAGGAAGCTTCTCCGTCCGACGTCACGAGAGTCAGGGGACATCACAGACTCCACGCCACCTTTGACCTCAGGCGCAGGACATACACGGGGTGGCAGCTTTCAGGTTCCTATCTATAGGTATATTTCAATACAGGAGAAGCTTTTTTTATTGATTATGTATGTACATGGTGTGTATATGTAAATCTTGCCATCAGGGTAAAACATTTGGTTGGATAAAAACATTCTTGTGGAGAGGAACTCGTCATTTTTGGACATTTTTTTTGTTTCTGTTTGCTCCTGAGGGAAGTGATATTTTTCGACAGGAGGCGTTTTATCTCGTGTGTGAAGCTAAGACGCAGAAGTCAGGGAGGCCAGCGGTCCAGACGGAGAGCCGCAATGATGAGACCATGAAACCACGGCACATACCCCCCACCCGCCCCTGGCCTCAGCAGATCATTACCGGACATCTTTAACAACCTACACCTTTTTATTTTGACCCTCTGCGTCTCTGGGCTGCTGCTCATGGGATGAAACGTGGTTTTTGGCCCCTGACGTTACAAACGCTCCTCAAGAACTGTCAGAGAATCCTGTGGATCCCTGTGGAGTCCAGAGGCGCCGCGACACCCTCCAAACTGCAGCCACGACTGTCCCTGATAAACTGTTTCCAGATCCCAGAGTGCTTTGTGTTGCAGTGTTTTATTTACACTGTTTGTTGTGCTTAATTTAATAGTCTTTAATATATTTGACCTCTTGTGTATCTGATGACCTTATCTATGAAAAATGCTTTTTATAGTTGGTGCTTCATTCTAAATTGTACTTATAGGATCCCTTTATTCTGAGATGTTCCCTCGTTCAAAACCAGTGTTTCAAAAAAAAAAACAACCAACAGCTAAAGTACAGTTTTATTGTACTGGTGCTAACATCGAGTTTTTGTGTTGACAATCAATGAAGTTTTGCTTTGAAGTCACAAACTGATAAAAGATATTTAAGAGACTTAAGGTGTAAAGAAAAGTTTAGTTTAGCTAAAGAAAGCGGGAAGCAGGATTGTGAATCATAGCGTTTATCTTCCTGTGTCAGATTATTTAAATGTTTATTTATACATTCAGGGTTTGATTATTTCTCAGCTTTTATTTCAACTATCTTATTTTGGCACAATGTCCCATTTACTGCAGCTCCTACTGAAAACGATTTTCTTTCTTTATATAAAAAAATGGTCCCAAACAAAAATAAAAAGAAAGGGTTTTTGTTGATGGTTTGGACTCGGAATCACTTCTCAGTTTGAACATTTTGGACTGTGTGGTTAACAAAAAACACTTTTACTAATAAAACGCAAAGCTCGTCTTAAAGGTGACTTCAAATCTTGAAACTGTCTTAATTTGAAATCAGACAATTTGAAATCAGCTAATCTTAAACCAGGATCATTTATTTTAAATATTTATTGCTACGATGATGGTGAAGATGTTTTTGCTCATGTCTGAAATCAAGTTTAAGAAAAGAAGGAAAATATTTTTAAAGACAAATGAGACAATTATAGTAATTTAATATTTACAGATGGGTCAGCGGATTAAATGAACCACCTTAAGCTTTCTGGCTGTATCAAAGGTTTTAAATATGACTAATGTCTTTTTATTTGAAATGCTTGAAGGCTTGTCTCCAGATCTGACCTGAAGTTTGTCCCTAAAGTAAAAAAAACTTCTCAAACCTGTTCATTAACTCAAACGTTTGGCGTTTCTCTTTCATTCTAAGGTTTTACTGACGTTTAGAGAAGTTTCTGGTGAACAAACATCAGCAGGTGTTTGGATTTGATTTTATCCACCAGAGGGAACCAACGGTGGCAGGAAGAGTTCATCTGCTGCTTTGTCTCTTCTCAGTCATGATTAAAATGCTAATTGTGACTTTTTGGAAGTTTCACAGCCGTTTTCCACAGATCAATCTGCATTTCAGGCCTCAAACCTCCTAAAATCACTTTGGTCTCGTTCTGTTCCGCCTGCAGAACCGCTGGCCCTGTTGGAAAAGTCTGCAGGCGGTGAGCACAGCAGTGCGTGTATACACTCAGAGAAGCTGCTGAAAAAGTCTTTAAATCACATAAAAATGAAGCTGAGTTTAAACTAATAAAAGCTTAATCGAGCTACAAATTTAATTTGAACATAAAATAATTAAAATCCTGATCCTTGAAGGAATGCATATCGCTCGCCTCCTTTCATGGCAGTTCATGACAGGTGGGTTTATTGTGAACGACAGCAAATCTTGGCTCAGTATCTAAATTATGGCCACATGTGCTAAGGTCTGTGGCAGCCATCTTGAATCAGGTGGACTCCATGTGTTGATGAGCTGTAGATGTACACCTTGTGACTAATATCTGAGAGTTTCACAGTTCTTTCTAGTGGTTCCTGAGATATTTTGCTAACAAACACAGGATGCATGTGTGTGTTTTATCAAAGGAGCAGGAGAACGTTGTCCTGCTGGGACATGTGTTCCTGCTTGGTGTCTCAGTGGGAAGGACAAGTGGCAGCATGTCTGTTTGGACTCCGATGCGGGCCTCCTGATACTGACTGAGACCTGCAGAGTCTTGATGAGGTTACTGTGGTTCAGTGGGGCCCGACCCGCTCCGATCCGCCAGAAGTTCCTGTTTTTGTCCGTGAGTTCATACCTGCTCCTTTTTACACAAACAGAACTGATTATCTGATAAAAAACTATTTAAAGTTCGGAGCTGTTGTTGTGAACCTTCTGTCAGGTTCTGAGAACCTGGTTTGTTCTAAGAGAACGGATCAGGTTTCAGGTGTTGGGAGAAGCTTGGACTCCATGTGACTCCTCACCAAGCCTCCTCCTTACCTCCCTGCCATTGGCCCGCCGAGGAGGAGCAGCTGAGCCTGATTGGATCAAAACAAGGGCCTGTCTGCAGGAGGCCTCCTGACAGAAACCGCTTCAGGGAGGTCAGCTGGGTCGGTTCTAACCCGGGAACCTAAAGAGAGGAGTCCCAACAGCTAAAACAGGAGGAGCTTAAACGTAAACAAACCAGACATTTTACCGGCTGAAGAAATCAAATAAATGACATTTCTGAGAAAACTCGCTTTGAGAGCTGAAAGACTTCATGAAGAAACCTGTTCATATGAACACAAGCTGAACAGAAGCTAAAATTAGAATAAAAAAAACAGGAGCAATGAGTTAAAAACTGCTAAACTTTACAGTAAAACATAACCAGGGTCAAAAAGCTTAAATTAATGACATAGCTAAAAGTAGAATTTGCTAAACTAACTAAATGCTACAATTACAAACTGTAGCTAAAAGCTAACATTAAATAGAAGCAAAAATAGTAGCTAAATGATAAAATTATTAATAGTAGCCAAAAGTTTAAAATTAACATAATAATTAAAAGCTAAAATTAGAAAAACAATAGCTATAAGCTAAAGTTAGCAACATAGTAGCTAAAATCAGAACAGTAGCATAATTAAAACTGCTACTTAAAGCTAAAATTAATAAAACTAGATAAAAGCAAAACAGCTTCTATAAGCGAAATATAGCAAATCAATAGATAAAAGTTCAAATGATCAACTGTAAGCAAACATTTGCAAAACGGCTAAAAGCTCAAATTAGTAGGACCATAGCTTAAAGCTAAAGGAAGCATACGACAAAAGCAGCACGTGTGATCTAACAGATTGCAGAGAAGAATGTTTATGAAGAGCTTTGTATTTTTATGGGGAAAATTGTTGTAAATAAATGTAACAATTCAAGAAGTATTTAAAAAACTAAAAGTCCGAGCTCACTCTTCCTGATGAGCTGAGCGTCGTGATCTAAGTTTGGTTAAAGTACCACAAAGTGTAGAAACCATTAACAGGAAATCAGCTGGATGCTGACTCAGCGTTCTCGCAGTAAAACCTTAAGATCAAACTTTAGTTTCACTCGAAGTTTTCTCTGCTCGTACTTTAGAATATCGAGAGCAGCTCCAGGAATGCCTCTGATGTTCCTAAACTAATGTTTGCAGTTTTTATTAAAGGTAAAGAAATATCTCTCGCTCTCTGGCCTGTTGATAAAGAACAGGAGATAAAAGTCTCTGCAGTCTGAGCTGGTTTTCACTCAACTGCAAGGTGGGGTTTTTTTTTGTTTTTTTTTTTGAGGAAGTTTTAAATTGCTCTGGGCAGTGGGAGTTCACCGAGGACGTTTGTTGTCTCTGGTAACTGTATTCAGATCAGGTTATGTAAGAGCTCCTGAAAACAAACAGAAGGGGAAGTCCTGCATGGAAAACACAATCTGGATGCTTCCTTCTCTCTTCTCTCTCAAACCAGCTCGATCAGAACCCATCCAAGTGTTTGGACCTGGATCATTTCGGTGGCAGAGCCTAAAACCTCCTCCTGTTTTCTGGTCCCTGAACCATCAGCAGCCTGCAGATGTGTGAACGTGACGCAGGCCTCAGACCTGCTCAGCGAGGTGTTCAGTGTCCTTTGTGTGCAGATCTGAGGACATGTAAAGGCGTTTCATCCAGAGCCTCCCTGACTCTCAGCCAAGCAGCTCTAAATAGAACAACCTCCTGCTTCGGCTGCTCGTTATGCTGCAGAGACAACGACCTTGTTCAGTTTGTCTCTTCAGACGCGCTGTAACGTATCTGGTTACTGCAGATCCTTCTAGACTAAATCAGAACTTTGTTTTTGCTCGTGAGGTAAACTGAGGCCCAGCTTTAGATGGAGATCTTTGACACAACTTAAATTATTTTGATCAAATCACTTGTATTGGTTGTGTATGACTCTCAGCTACTACCACACCAGACTTTAGCTCCGTATCTGTGAAATAAACTCATTTATAGACGTTTTTGTGTTTTCTTTTCACCATAATCATTTAACATGTTCAGTAAATGAATTAAACGCCGACTGAAGGACTAATAATAGATAATAAATCGTGTTCCTGTGCTTTGCTCCGGTCTGGTCTCAGGTTCTGAAGCGTCCAGGGAGTCGGGGTCTCTGAACGCTGACGTTGACACTTTGAGGTTTTCTGAGAGCTGCAGGCGTTTCCAGCAGCTCTGCTGACAACAGAGACCCTCTGTTCCCCA